CAAGAATTGAAGATCTTGAGTTTTGTGTGTTTGCTAAGTGTCTTTGATTTCCAGATGTTAGACAGAATAAGATAAAAAAATTACTGTCATTTTGACTTATTCTGCTAGAAGCAGTTATTGCTTTAATTTCAGATAACAGTGAGCCATTTTGCTCAAAGCCTATGCTCTATTTGGAGATCAAGAGCGGAAGAAACCAAAGAGAAAAAATTAAATAACAGTTCATTTTAACAAGAACACCGAAAGAAGACAACATTAAACTGAAAAACAGCTCCAACAGAAACTTTTGTAAAATAGTGTAGACAAATTGAAAAAACAAACAAACAATAAATTTGAAGTTGAGAGGATCAACTTTATTGCACTGCGTTGTATCCCATATGGATCAGTCCCTCTGAGAACCATTGTGGTGTAGCGGCTAGACACCTGCCTAGGGCCTGAAAGTTGTTGGTTCAAATGGGCATCGAGCTGGATTTTTTTTAAAAGAAAATTACCTTGATCCCAGGTCCGCCTCAAATGGCTACCAGGTAAAGTCCTGGGAAGTAAAAGCAGCTGGCGTGATGGTGACCACATCCCCCACTGAGTGCCGATTGGTCTATAAAATTTATCTAGCACTGTGTGCATAGTGTGGGGAAGAAGGTCTTTTACTTTCTTTACTTGGTCTCTGGTCGCAGAATGGTTATCAGCCTTGGAACAGTGTCACACACACAAAGCTCAAACTCCATCATGAACTGAATGACGCATCTGTAAAATGAACCCACGACTCTCAGACGGTGAGGCCATTTCACCATGGACACTTCCACCAAAGAGTAATTAAGACAAAGTTAATTAAATGTTTAATTTAATTAAACATTCACAGATATATTAATTCAGCACCCTTATATTTGAACATTTTGAATGGGGAGAGGGGGGGGGGGGAAGGGTTGAAACAAAGGGAGCTGCCTTAATGTTGCGACCAGACACTCACCAGCAGGCCCGAATTTTCGTGGACTAAAATGTGCATCTAGCCGGATTTATTACTTAAATGACCAGGGCTCCCAGGTCAACACAGCCTAAAACAGGAACTAGCTAAAGTCCTGGGAAGTAGAGGCCGCCACTGTCACGCTGACCACATCACCCATCGAGAGCCAATTGGTCTATAAAACATAGGTCAAGCAGTATACGACCAAGGGCACTGAAAATTTTCTGTTGCTTTTCATTGAAATATTTTTTTTTTAAACAATAAAATGCTTAATGTCTAGACAGAGAAAAGAGGTTTCATAAGCATAAAAACATTAATGAACAAATTCACCCGTCACCAAATGAATGAAAGAAATGGCAAAACTTTTTCATGTGACAGAAACTTGGAAAAATTCTTTAAAATACATTACAAAATCTCTTTACACCTTTTTTAAACACAGTATTTTACAAAAGCATACAACAGATGAGATGGTTTAGCCATTTGATGAGAATGCCTTGGTACCAACTGCCACAGAGAGCCATGCTGAAGAAATATAATGAAAACATCAAAGATGGAACGGCTGCATCTAGAACAGCCTTAAAGACATGAAGAGCGACTTATACAGCACATTAGAAAGAAGCATACTGAATATCCTTACATCTCCCTCCAACACTTAGATGAGGTTACTGGAATAAAACAAGAAGGCAAAAACAAATCATGGGAGTAATATGACCATGAGGGAGAACGTTTAGAAGAAAGAAAAGTTTTACATAAAACAGATCAGAGGAGTAACATGGCCCTGAGGGAGGATGTATAGAACAAAGACAAGTTTTACACAAACAGATCAGAGGAGTCACATGGCCCTTAGGGAGGATGTATAGAACAAAGACAAGTTTTACATAAAACAGATCAGAAGAGTAACATGGCCCTGACCGAGTACGTATAGAAAAAAGACAAGTTATACAAAAACAGATCAGGAGAGTAACATGGCTCTGAGAGGGGACGTCTAGAACAAAAACAAGTTTTATACGTAAAACAGATCATTTGAGTAACAGACCTGAGGGAGGACATCTAGAACAAAGACAAGATTTTTATACATATAACAGATCAGTGGAGTAACATGGCCCTGAGGGAGGATGTCCAGAACAAAGGCAAATTCTATACAAGTTGAAAATCTCTCGTCTAGCCACCCCTTGCTCTTTACCCTCTAATTTTCCAGTGGTCCTCAAGTTCATAAGAGAAGTAAATTCCTTGTGTGCCCAAACCAGATGGAACTGAACAAAAACATGCAACAACTGACTTCTTTTTCTGGTTCACCCTTAAAAGGGCCACAGGCATGTTGTGTTGCGGTTTACAGCTAGGCTGCAATAGCCACGCCTTACAGCCCAAGATATCTGATGTCAGCCAAATCCTACAAATTCCCACTTAGCCGTCCAAGAACTAATATGGGGACTTCAGAAAAAAAGCAATATATACACTTTCATATTGGTGATGCGCCAGATCAAAGGTTCCATCTACAAGCCCTATCTACATTTCTAGGATACATGGTCATCACAGAAAGAGGTTCCTTGCCAGGTGGGGGGATATTTTATACTGTATTGTATTAAGGATCTTTCTATGCTAGGGTGTGGGCGTCGAGCACTCTATTTTCAACCGTTTGGCCCCTAGGTAAACCTAGTTCAATAGGCCTGCTGTGGGGAGAGGCCTAACTAACACAGATATAACTGATGCTTCCTTTAAAGTCTGAGTGCATCGTCGGCCATAACAAGCGAGGAATCATAATTGTGCATATACCGAGTCACAACTGAAAAAACAGAAGTGCAGGAAACACTTCAGTTCTGAAACCGGACCAACACACACACAAAGATGTCCCACCAGGACTTTCTGCCAAAATTCACAGCCAGTAATGAGTAATAACAAATACCATATCCCAAATCATAAAGATAGTCTTCCCAAATGACACTTATGGCATATATTTCCCATGCTTTATTTAAAAAAAAAATATTTACAGCATATTTAACCAAGAATAATTTATGACTACAATTTTTTATTCAAAGAAATGTCAATAATCTACCCGGGGTAAAAAAAAGTGACAGTGCCACAGCAGTGGTTTGCTGACTTGTTTATTAGCCTAGTTACCACAAGTGTAAATTCTTATCCAATGGGATTTTATCATCCTGATCGTCAATCAGCAAGTCCACTACAGAACACTGCTGTTATCATGGCATGCCTGAAAGTCTTTTTCTCTAACCAGTTTCCCCATCCTTATCTCCTTTTATAGCCAATGCATCTTTAATTGTTTGCATCCATCTTCATGGAGGTCTGCCTCGTCTTCTGACTATACCATCCAACAACATTCTGTCCTGGCAGCCCTGACATTCAACCTGGCCACAGTACCTCAGCTTTTTGAGATTTTTGGACTGACATTTGTTCATGACACTTTTCAAGAAAATAAAATCACCAGTGATTACCAAACTACACATTACCATCAAGGACGAAATACAAATAAAAAAAAACACACACTATCAGTATCACCATTGATTACCAAACAACTACGCTACCATTAAGGATGAAATAACAACAAATATTTTAACTCATTCCCCCATCAATAACACCAGTGATTACCAAGCAGCCATGTTCTCATTAAGCATGCAATTTATTTGGGGAGCAATCGCAAACAACAACTATCAATCTCTAATCATTAGGAAAAATAAAAAATAAAAAATGTATCAATATCGCCCAAAAAAAACTAAATACTGTAAACAAGTTCAGCTAACAGTAAATGTACCAGATGATGTCATAATATAGTTCAGCTAACAGTAAATGTACCCACAATGTCATTATATAGTTCAACCAATAGCAAATACACTGGAAAATGTCAAAATATACTTACGAACCGGTGCTGTCTTCACACTGGAGGTTGGCTGTGGATATGTGCACTAACGGGCTGTTTGTGAGAATATTATTCGGTGAAGTCCCAATCTCTTCCAGGGTTTGATTCTTGTACCACTGTTTGAAAGCAACAATAACAGTCCTTTTCTAAACTGCCCCCCCCCCCCCCCCCCCGTTTTTTTTCACAGCAATGGAATCCTGGTGCTTCAAGAACTGTAAAACAACGTCACTAACCTCTAAGCAACAGATAGTGTCATTATACAAGTATTATATTAACAACAGTGTTTAATCACATCACAGGTTGGTCCCTTCAAAGTTATTGAAGTCTCAGACATCAAATAGACAATCTAACTAACCCTGTCACCGAGAGAAGCTGCAGAAGTGAATGAATGTCAGTTGCCTCCAATTCTCTCAATATCACTTTTCCAACTTGTCTAGTAGAGTGACATTTTACTACCTGAGTTCGCGCCTGCATAGCATTAAGGATGGCAGGACATGAATAGAGTTATTAAAATAGCATTTACGGGGTTTTCCTTGTGAACCAAACAGCATTTTAAAGCCAAGTTGACATCAGTAATTTCCACGTAGCTTCAATGACAGAGGTCACTCGGTCATGTCATGAGTCATCCAAAACATATTGTTCTTTAGACCCAGGGGAGTGTAGTCCATTTAACGCTTCACCCTGTACGGGTTTACGCACTACTTTATTGATATATTTTTATATGTGGGGGGCACTGTACACAAATAATTTTTAAAAATGTAAATTTTTTTGGGGACAAGGATTTCTTCCTTGAGAATTCCCAGGGGCCATGACTCAATTTTTTTAAGTGTTCCGAGGGCAAAAATGCTTAAAGGTACAAAACAAGTATTATAATGTGAGGTTAGCTGCATATCCTCTTCAGAGATGTCACAAACTCCAGCATACATTTGCTTGTTTGTAGTTTTACTAAGCAATTTCACATTCAGTAGTCTGCCACCACTCAGTGAATGGACAAGGCTCATAAGGCTTTTACCCGCGCAAATGCTAACTTGCAATGTTACTGAAAGTAATTAAAAGATAATAGTACAAAGATTTCGTTTCCCAATACAATTTACCTATATATATAATTTAGAGCTTAAAAAAATCATTGAAAAAAAATTCTATTAAAAACAGAGCTAAATAAGCCACAAGTCGTTAAATTCCAAGTTCAGCCATCAGGTAAAACAACAGGAAAATCATTAACGCAACTGCCAGGATGATCACAACTGGGTTAAATGAGGCTGAAAATAAACAAGAAAAAATCTGTTTACTTGCTGTTTTTAAAATGTAATAGTCATAAAAGTAACAGTGATAATTATAATAGTAGTAGGAATAAAAGAGTAGTAGAAATACAAATATTATAATAATTATATACAATTTCACATAATACAGATTCTACATTCATCAGCATTTTCTTGGGAATTGTTACTTACTCAAGTTTTCTAAGGTATTCCTCAAAAACCACAGCTCTCCCACTTCCAAACCCTTAATAACTTTGAAAAAAGGCATCGAAAAACATTGTGATGACTGGAAAGACCAGTGACAAAAACGGCAAAGAATTGTTTGATGAAGAAATGTTGTTTGATGCAAAACTGGCACTAGAACTTAACATCTGCAGAGAAATGTCTCTGTGTAGGTTAGAAAGCCGCACTTGGAAAGTTGGGGGGGGGGGGGGGGGGGGGGAACAAACTTACTGCCCCCTTAATAAGCATGTCATAAGAAGCAACTAATTAAAATGTTTGTTTCCTGCATATACAAATAAGCCATATATCTAAACAGATTTGCATGCAAAACACACATTCGGAAAAGGGGGGGGGGGGGGGAGAATTAAGTCCAGAAGTGGACAAACAACCAGAACTTTCCACCAGAGTTTACAGCCGGTGAATGCTAAGAAGAAGAAGAAGAGCTGCAGAGAAATATATTAGGATGTAACTAGGTAACAATTCAGCTTAACAAATAAAAACTGGCTGGTATTAGCGATTCTCTTAACATTTCCCCTGGTTTCATTATTTCACTGTCAAGAGACAAAACCCACATCACTAACAGAATCTGGAGGTCACCAACAGGAACCGGAGGTCACCAGCAGAAACTAGAGATAACCAGCGGAGTTGAGAAATAACAACATAGCACTTGAGTATTCCCATAAGTGCTCCATCTTCATCTGCCAGTAAATAGCCTCAATGCTAATGGATCCAGTAGCAGTTTAATGATGTATCCTTCTGTCCGAGTGCGGAATGTTGGCCAGATCTCTTGGTCCCTTCTTCCCGCAAAAAGTAATGATTTTTGTGTACTTGAGCACTGTTCACACACAGATCTTGAACAAATCCAGCTTGACATGCATGCATGATCCAACCAATATTTCTGCCTGTACTTTCCCCACATAGAATGCAAAGGACATTAACTACCCGAACCTCTGATGCGATCCTTAATGCTCTGTATACAGTAAGTCTTTTTCTACCACATCTTCACAAGCTTTGTGAGACTGTTACAGCCATATTATGTGTGTAGCTGGCTCTCAAGCTAGCAAAAAGCTGCTGTGACTGCCTCCCCCTCCATTCTCAAACTAGATTTTGTGGTATCATTTATCAGGCTTTGTTGCAGTAAATGAGGTCTATTCGCTTTAGCTATAAATCCACATGCACTTTGTCTGTCTCTCAACACTGACCCATCTGGACAGATAATGATATCAACTGGGCAGGAACTGTCGAGAATGAGTTGTTAAATTTCTCACAATTTTTCATAGAGGCATTTTGGTCAGTCTTTTACACCAAAAAAAATACGATGAAAATATAAATTTGAAATACCTGCTTTTCAAATAATAACGAGTGCCAAAGTGAACGCTGCAGCTGGACAGCAATCATCAGTATGCACAGGGATAATGATGCAATTATATAAAATGACTCCTGACATAAAACTCCAAAACAAAGCTCCTACTTACTTCTTTCGGGACACTGATGTAGTCGGACAGTGTTGTCAGCAGATATACTCAACAAGTTGAAATCCTGCTTTCCTGTTATGGCTTTAGCTACTTCCGAAGACGGCAAAAACTCCACGCCTGTCACAAATATACTGTGTGCTTCGTTGACATGGTACAACCGCTGTAACATATGACCAAACCATTCACAAAACAATTGTATTAAAGCTTTTATTGGGAGAGGCGGATGCTGGTCCTCTCCACAGTGTCTAAAAAGGTGCCAGTGCTCACCACAAAGTGTCTAAAAAGGTGCCAGTTCTCACCACAAAGTTTCTAAAAAGGTGCCAGTTCTCACCACAAAGTGTCTAAAAATGCCAGTTCTCACCACAAAGTGTCTAAAAAGGTGCCAGTTCTCACCACTAAGTGTCTAAAAAGGTGCCAGTTCTCACCACAAAGTGTCTAAAAAAGGTGCCAGTGCTCACCACAAAGTGTCTAAAAAAGGTGCCAGTGCTCACCACAAAGTGTCTAAAAAAGGTGAGAAGTTCTCACCACAAAGTGTCTAAAAAGGTGCCAGTTCTCATCAAAAATTTAAACAAAGCCCTGATAATGATCAAACAGGCACTGAAATTGGAAACAAAAGGACTGAGGCAATGAGGACGGGCAAGAAAAAGCAAAGGTGAACATTGATATTGTTGACATAAGCCAACAGATAGTTAATTGGTGGAATATTGTCTCCTCGGTGTGCTAGCTGGTTGCTAGGGGTTTTTTCGTATCTATGACATTCTGAATTCACACAGTTGGTAACCAGTAGACAAGACATCCGTTTATATTGTTTATTCAGCTTACAAAGGTAATCAGGTCCAGTCAACGTCTACTACTGGCTTACTGGTTAGCACGGTCCAACAAGAGATGATGGCATTTACAAGTACAGACTCGAAGTCTACTACCATCCACACTCTTTACCTTTCAGGCATTTGCTGTCCGGTTCAGCCTTCTCAGGTGTTGATCCTGTTTGCATTAGTCAGACCCTCAGTATGAAACCTGTTTCTAGGATTAGGATTATCCCAAATACAACATTTCCAGGATAAAATTCTGGCCAAGAGAGACACTGGTTGAAGCCAAACTTTATGGGCTGCTAAATGAATTACAAAAGACATTGAAGTTCATACTAGAGACAGCACTGCAGATACAGATTATTTATTTCAAGCTAGCGAAAGAAGATGAAGAAGAAGGATTACCCCAAAGAGGTGTAGATAGGTCTTCACCAGTCTGAGCCAGGGGCTGCATGGTCTCGAGGTAGTGTCCGTCTCGAGTGCTAGAGTTCCCGAGTTCAGGTCCCTGTGAAGGCTGGGATTTTTTATTTTCAAGTGGACTTATAGTAATTTCCCCTGGTCTATGGGTAGTGAGATCAGATGCCCATGTGTATTGTTGCGCACGTAAAAAAATCATTTGACAGTTGGAAATCGAAAATAGTAGCCTAACAGCGTGCCCAGGCAAAATTTGGAGTTAAAAATCTACACAAAAAAGTATTTCAGGATCCTCGCCGGTGCAGCAGAGTTCTTGCACTGAGCTGAGATTCTTCGGACAGGCTTGAGTTAGAAGAAGAACGGAGCACTTATGGGTTACTACCCATGTGCCATGATGTTGATCCACTGTTCAAACTTCAGTCTGAGCCCTGCTCTTGGGGCACCGTGACCTGTGGTTCAGCATCTTTGCCTCATAAATGTAAGAGTAAACTGTTAAGTTATGATAGATCTTACAATTTCTATTAAGACTGATGTATTATGTTGCCTCACCTGTAAGCTAAATGAGATATAAACAGATACACTTCCTGAGATGTAGCCTACACCCAGATATATGCCGTCAGTACTGTGAACAAGAGTCAACAATAATCAATGTTAGTTTGTGGACAACAGCTGTAATATAATCAACTACACTCATATATCTTTTTTGCAGACACCAATTTCATGAACACTGAAATTAAAAGACCAAATCTGGAGTAGCTGATTTAGTATGTTCAACCCCCGTGTGGATTCCGGGGCCCCATTGTGGGGAAAACAAGAATAGACCCACTGCCTCCCCAAAAGCATGTCGTAAGAGTCGACTAATTGGGAAGCTTCCTTTGAAGTCCGAGTGCATCTGCCGGAGAGGCAAGGAACCAACAGTCTGTATTCAAGAGAATGAGATCTGTAAAACTGATGCACACGCAACACTCAGGTTCTGGAGCAGGACTGCAGTTCAGTAGTGGACGAGCAACCAGAACCTTCCGCCAGAGTTTACAGCTGGTGAATGTGAAGAAGAAGAAAGTATGTTCAAGTTTACAATAAGCGAGTTGAGTTGATTCAAGAACTAACATCACAGCACTCGGGGCATGCCCACAGGCAGTCAGTCCCCAGCTTCAGCAGCCAGAACAGAGTTCCAATACCACTGGTACCAGTAATATTCTGATTATACATCCGTCTTGCCTTTCCTCTTGAGCGATGAGTATCGGCCAGATTCCCTCATCACCTTCGGGTGCATCACTCTCACCAGCCTCTGGTGATCCATTGGATTCTCAGAATTGTACACACTGTCCCACACTGGCCCTAACCACATCTGCCTTATGCACCAAGTTGTGCAGAGCTAGCCAGTCTGTGTGAAACTGGCGACATTTTGTATACAGTAGAAATACAAATAAATGTCTGTGCTGTCTCCACAATGAAGGTTGACTACAGTGTACCAGTGTTGTCTTTGGGAATATTACGGGGCGAGCGGTGAGGCCCAATTCTCTTTCCTGGTGCGACTCTAGTACCATTGTCTGAAAACCATGCAGGAAATGAACTTAAGTCTCAAAGATCAGGAAATTGTTAACTGGATTTGCTAACCACTAAGTTGCAGTAGAAATAAAAATTTCAAGTATTATATTTACTCAGGTGATGGGTTATCTTCAAAGATGGCTCTTTTTTTTTTAAGATAGAAAAAGTCCAAGAGGGTTCATTGCAAAATCAACTGGACACTACTTAGTGCAACAAAACCTTGGATATCAGCATTTATTTTGAGACTGGAGGTGGAGGCAGTCACAGCAGCAGTCTTCTGAAGGCTTCAGAACCAGCTGCACACAGGTTGGAATTTTAAGAGACTCATAGGGCATGCTAAGAAAGGTGGAGAAAGCCATGCTAGATGCAGAGTGGCTAGCATCGCTTCAGAGGTCTCGGGATCTTCCTTTCAGCGTCAGTTTTTGAAGAAGCATTTCAAGTGCCAGCCTTGGTATGTACTACGTAGATGTTGCTTACTCCAGCCTCAGGTATTCAATCAATCCATTGCCTGAGTGGTCGACCTCTAGATCTATTGTAGTTTCAGTCCCAACTTTCTGTCCTGATCTGGTCATTTCTGATTCTGTCTCTTCTAATTACATTTGGGATAAGATTTGCTGTAGACATTTTATTTCTGTTTTGGTCTGTGTCTAACTCTTCTAAACAGACTCACCTGACAGCAAAAGCTGAAACCATGTCTGCCCCAGCACTGACGGCTTTCCTCAAAGTGTATTTGCCGCTGTCCCAGGAAGAGATGTAACAGGGAGATTTTGCCGATCGGGTGACAGGAATATTGACTGTATAAAAATTAAACTTGTCTTTCTTGCCTTCTATCAGACCATATCTAATTTACACAAAAGAAAACAAAAACAGAATATAATTAATTTACTATGAGCTCTTGCAGGATTTAAAATATACTCATAATATATATTAATGATAAAACAGTTTACTGCACGTCCTTTACAGCGGTGTTCTTCAAACCATGGGCCAGCACCCACCAGTATCCCGTGGAAAAGACCAATCAGGCCGCCAACATTTCTGCCTAATCATTGAACTGTTCATTTTTAACCCTCTGGAGACAACGCAGCAGAAATATTGGCCCAACGCAAAGTAGCCAAAAGAACGGCTGAGCCGATCGGTCGGCCTTGTGTAATAAAAGCCTTGATATTGGCTGGCAGGTTTACGCACCAGCCAATCAGACTGCTTCTCGCATTTCTTGCATATGTGGGCTGTTAACTGATGGCTTTCGGGAAAGTCTGATGTGTTCTGTAATTTTACATCAATTTTTTTCTGGGGTTACCCGTGCCCCAAAAATGACGAAAAGGACTGTTTCATCATAGCAACTGAAACATGACTGGAGGCAGGAAAATGAGTAGAAACAAGTGCCAGGCGTGTCTGAAGGGCCTCCAAGGGCCTTACTTCCCAAAATAAAGGTGTTAGAACTTTTTCAAGCTTCATCCATACAAAAATTCACCCACATTTTTCAGGTTAGTTGTTTGTTTCCAAGTTTTATAAAAAAACTGCTTGCATTAATTATGCAAATTAGAATAGTTAATTTGAATAAATGTTGAGATTTCAGTTTCATTCATAAATATTCTGTTAGTTCATTCAATTTCCTACACGATGATATATAGTTTTGTATATGTTAATTAAACAGTTTATTTTTTTTAGAATTTTTTGTGTATAAACTATGAGAATCACCTTTTGAAGGCTCTGTCTTCTTAGCACCAAAAATCCAAAAAAGGCTCCGTCTCTAAAGGGTTAAGAGCATCTTTATCGCACATCGGACATGACCCTAAGTGCTCCGATCTCCTTTTGAATATGTTTCCAAATGTTTTCCTGTCTCGCGGCTCCAATTAGTTTATTCAGGGTATGCAGTCTATTCAGAAAAAAATAATTTAGTTTAGTCTCTCGTATGGCATTGATGATGTCTCTCCTGTCCATATAGAGAGCCCATTCCTGATAGTCGCACTGCCAGCCAGAGCCTCTGCTCTCTCACTGCCTTTCACACCAGAATACCCTGGGACAAAAATGAAGGTGATTTTGTGACATGCTGCATTGTGCATCAGATGTAGCCAATGTTTCCGTATGTACCCCACCTTGATCTACTGTAGAATACTCATGAGTCGCTGAGCAAACATGCAGTGGTGAACTCATGAGCAATCAACCATTCTAGGGCCTTTGTCACAACCATGACTTCCATTGTCATGTCGCTGGTGGCAGAAGCAAAGGCTCCACTGTCTTCTTTGATGAATTTCTCTTTGGTTCTTGCCGTGAAAAGCCTTGCATTTATTGGGGTAAAGTAGGTAGTTTTACTCTTCCAGGATTGAGTCTGTAGGATGATGATGATGATGATGATGTTGGTGGTAAAGCACCTGCAAGCAAGTTGAAGTAAAAAATTTGAGATTATGCATCTTTTCCCTGGCTACTTATGTCAGTCCTGGACTCTTACTCGGTCTTTGAGAAAAAAAATCGGAGCTTTTGAACTGAAGTGCTCCAGAAAAAGTTTGAGAATACCCTGGACCAAGAAGAGGGGGGAAAACTGACAGCCTGCATGACCTGAACATCTAGGAGAACTGGCTTGTAAACAGCATCCTCTCTCGAAAGCTGAGATATTTTGGACATGTCAAGCGCCGAGAACGATGATGGAGCGTGCAGTTTCCGGAAAATGAGGCAGAGGCGAAGGTTACGAAAGTATACAGGGCAGGGGAATTGGCGAGAAAAAAAGGGGACTTTGAGGCATGTCATGAAGAGAGTGATGTTCTGCAAAGGACAGGTGGTTCTTTATTAATATCCTACCCCAGATGACGTCACAAGACAGTCCAACATTTTATATGGTGGTAAAACTGGGTTTCTTGGCTTTCTGATGTTTTTATGACCCAAAAGTATCTAGAACTGGCCCTAACCCAAACCCACCTACCTCCTACGAGAGAGTGCAGCCTAGGTCCCACGACTGCATACAGCCTATCTACCGCCCCCAAAATATTAGACTGTCCTGTGACCTGTGGATTTCCTGTTTGGGGTAGTATATTAATAAAGCACTGGACAGGCTGACTGACTGAGCACCAAATGCTTAATATGCCAAAGGCTTTAACAGGTCCTTATCTAAACCTGAACCCCCTCACCCCAAAAAAGCAGAGGCGGGGGGGGGGGGGGGGGGGGGGGGGGGGGGGGAGCAGCACGCCCAGTTGGGACCAATTCTCAGTAAATGTCACTTTTCAATGAGCACCCAAAACAATACTTCATCCTCACATTTGGGGTCATGACCCACTGATATAAACAGTGTGAGTTGAAAGTATGCAAACCTGCAAGCTCGGAATCTGTAAGGAACTGTGGTTTTGTGTGTCCAAGCCAAGTCTGAGATCTTCTTCCCATCCAGTGAGTGCCAGACACACCCGCTCTTGTCACGAGACACAGTCATTATCTGAAATTGCATGAAATGTGTGTGCGTGCGTGAGTGTGTGTGCATGTGGGTAGGTGTGTGTGTGTGTGAAGTGTACTGCTAACTGGCATGGGTGATTGTGCTTCTCCACAACCTGCAATCTCCAACAGCATATATGTGTGTGTGTGTCTGTGTATATATAGATACATATACACACATACATATGTGTGTGTATATATACATAGGGAGAGAGAGCAAGTAATCACATACTTCAATCAGCAACCACAATTCAACAGAGCAAAGTAATCACATATTTTATTCACCAATCATCCTTCTGTTGTTCTTCCATCAAAAGTGATGATGACCACTCTTTGACCACATCATGAAACCAGTTGAGTAACTGCATTCGGAGGTGATTTATGATCCCAATATGGGCCCAGAAGGATCCAGGAAAATGCCTGTAGATAAAGGGCCAGTTATACAGTCTTTCTATCCCTTCTTCATGTGTCAGCTGAACTTTTTCTAAACGTCTCACAAGTCGCTTTGCCTCTTCAGATAGATGTTCACAATATAGTCCAGTCTTGTGCTGCAGCCTCCCAAGTGGTAGGGTTTATATTGATATAATCACCCTTTTAAACTACCACTCAAAGTAATCATACATTTCATGCATCAATCACCCTTTTAATTTAACAGTGAAAGTGAATATACACTTCACTCATCAATCATCATTTTAATCTAACACTCAAAGTAATCTTGTGCTTCATTCTTCAAACAACTTGTCAATCAACCACTCGAAGAAAGCACACACTTCATTCATCTATCTATTTATTAACTCAACTACCATGCACTTCGGTTATCTTATTCTTCTTTTGTCATCTCACTGATACCAGGTTGTAGCCCAGTGTCGTGGTTTTCTGTATTTGTCTTGCGCTTCTCGGGTGCCTTGGGTAATGGATTTGTTAATCTTTTTTGCAGGTTTTAGCCACACCATTTATCCATCTCTTTCTTAGTCTTCCCTCACCTTCCTCCCAGATGTTCAGATGGAGCCACTGTTTTCGTATGTATTCTCACTAGATGGCCGAACCATTTCATTCTTTGTCTGTCAATGTAATCCAGACACAGTCTTATTCCAACATTCTCTCTAATACTGGTATTCATAACCCTGTTCCTTTATTCATCAATAATATATTTATTAGTTTCAAACAGAAATTAAAAGACCCTTTTCATGCCTTGCAGTACAGTGATGTTAGTTCCATAATATACAGACTAACTGGTACATGATGGATGATGAGGTCAATATCACACAGGCCGCCTTTACTGCCCATGATATTACCTGGTCTCAATTTATGGGTCGGCCGACCTGGGATCCAAGCTAAAGTTTTTAAATTTAAAAAAAATCCACTTTGATGCTGATCTGAACCCTAGAACGCTAAGTCCGCATTTGAGTATCTAGCCACTATATCACTTTGGCTCCCACATTTATTAACCTAAATCAACCACTGCATTCATCAGTCATCCACCTCTCAAATTAATCATACAATTTATTAATATATCATCCTGTTAATCAACCATTCAAAGCAATTATATATTCATGGATCAATCTTTTATATTAAGTCAAAAACAAAACTATACCTGTGTGCCGGACGGAGAGAAATCCAGATCATCTATTTCATTTGTGTGTGCTTCAACCTCCCAAATTTTTACTAGCTCTGGGTACTGTCAAGGACAATAATAAGTATATATTTACACATCTATTTCAGAACAAACTGAGCGCTCACATTCTACTTCTGTCTTTTATTTCCAATGGATAATAAAAGACAGGTTCTGGCAACATCTTTCTGATGTGTGCAGTGATGACTTCAAACCAGTGCCTATCCTAAGCCATCATAGTATTTCTGACAAGAACCCCACAGCCATTAATTCTAGCCATTTGAATGAAAGAGCCCAAAAGAGTCTCTTGAGAATCGTCTTGTCTGTAGATATGATTCTCTCACTTATAAGGGCCTTAATGTCCAACACACTTTTATCTAACAATTTTAACATCCCTTGCTGTACTCTCCTAGTAAAGTAAAGTAAGTGAAGATCCATTTTTACGTCTTAGGGGCATCAGGCATATGGGAAGAGCATCCCATATTTTTACAGACCAATCGGCACTAAGTGGGTAACAGCATTACGCCGGCAGTCTTTACTTCCCCAGGACAGCCATCCGGTACCCATTTTAGGCTGGGTCTACCTGCGACGCCCCGTTCCATTATAAAAACCCATACAGCCAGCAGTGGTTTCGATTGCGGTACGTTGGAATTACAAGTCGGACGCTGCGCTGTACTCGCCTGCTTCCCACCTAATTGGGTCGCTTTCTGTCCAGTATCTATATCCTGTAGCAAATTTTATTTGCAGATGTCCTTACTGTTCAAATATGTTATGGAGATTTAGTGACAGATAAGTGAGTTTATGTATTGTTGTTTGCAATTGTATATCACTGTCCCATTTGTATTGTTAGCTGATGACATTTTTTGTTGTTATAACGTTCAATTTTCCATTCATGACTGTGGTAGTGTGATGCAGACTTTTATAATTCTCATTTGGATTAGTATTTTTCATGACATTTTTTGTTGTTGTAATGTTCAATTTTCCATTCATGACTGTGGTATTGTGATGCAGACTTTTATGATATGATACTCATTTGGATTAGTATTTTTCATGACATTTTTTAAACATGTAGCATAAGCCCTCAGATAAATCATGTCAAGCACTGCTATCTTTTGCATCTCCTGCAAAGCTCCCTTCATATCCTCCTCATATTCTGCATTACTCTTCACCAAGTTTTTACATACCTATTTTTTTTTAAAAATCTGTGCATTCCAAAGAAAGTACTTTCTAGTTATACTAATAATCGGTTTTTCTCAGTGTGTCCTGTCTAGTGCCAGCATATTTTTATCTCTTCATTCATTGGAATTAGTTCAATTCTATAAATGTGGACCACTTAAGTAATTCTGTCATACAATTTTAGTCATTCTGCTCTGCACAAACACTATTTAATGGTTGTTGATGTTCTATTAGAAACTGTTTTAGACACTTTTCATATTTCTTTTTTACACCGCAGTACTAATATGTCATAAGACTTAAATATTCTGAGTTTGATCGTAGATCTTATTTCTTCACACTTGCATAAATTCCCCAGTGCTTTGAAAACTTATCTTGCCTAGTGTATTCTTTTTTTTTTACAGGGTTCCGCTTCCGGTATGGTGGTGCTAGCTGCCCGTGTGTATTGTTGCGCACATAGAAAAATCCCTTGGCAGTTGGAAATCGAAAACAGTAACCTAACGGTGCTGCTCAGACAAAATTTGGAGTTCAAAAGCTACCCAAAGTATTTCAGGATCCTCGCCGGTTCCCTGAGCTGAGATTCTTCACTCAGACTTGAGTTAGAAGTAGAATGGAGCACTTATGGGTAACTACCCTTGTGCCATGATGTTGATTTGTTGTTCAAACCAAACTTACTTTACTGTTTTGCTCTATTATTATTTATTATGTGACTATCTAGTCAGTGCAAGTTCCCATGGGTTAGAAATCTCTCAAGTATGATCCTGTTTAACATGTCCCCCAAAACTGATAACGACAGATTCCCTTTCTTTGACAAGCTTCCACAGCTATCCTTCTTTTCAGCTGCTGTTTTTCCTTTAGTCTCCCTGGCTGTGTTAAATAATTTGTGCAGTAGTTTAGTCAACATTTGTATCATCAATCAGCAAGTCACTTACCTAACATGGCTCTCTTCACGGCACGCCTGAAAGTATCAATGCCAATGCATCTTCAAAGTCCTGTATCCATCTTTGTGGAGGTCGATCCCTGCCTTGCTTCCCACAAACTGTACCCTCCATCAACATCTTTTCCAAGCCACCATGATGTTTGATGTGGCCAAAATACTTCAACTTTTAGGACAGGACGCTATTTATGAGCTAGTTCTCCTTGATGTTTAACTTGTGTAGAATGTCAATGTTTTTCCTCTTCTTGATCCATGGTATTCTGAGAACTTTTCTGTACCATTTTAATTCAAAAGCTCCAATCTTTTCCTTTAGTGATTGAGTGAGAGTTCACAACTCACAACCCTAAGCTGCCACAGAAAAGCTGTGTGCCAACATTTGTATATGGGATTTAACAGCTTATACTGTAATACCATCTGGACCAGCAGCCCTCCCATCCTTAACTCTTTGAGTCCCGGAGGGTTTAGCATCACAGGCCCAAGGGGTAGTCAAGAGAGACGTAAAATTGACGCATTATGCGTTCATTGGGCTTCTAGGCAGTAACCTGTGAACGTATAATGGGACTCAAAGAGTTAAGGAGTTAGACAGCTTTTCTATTTCTATTTTTAGACTGTATGCCCAATAAGCCTCATCACCCCAAAAAAAAATCATCAACCTTAATTTTTCCCCCTACTTTTCCTTGCAGCAAAAAAAGAAAACAGCATGTAATGTATAATACTATTTTGCATTCTTAAACAGGTTCTTACCTTCCACACTCTCAAAAATCCATCTGCTCCAGCTGTGGCCAGATGTCTGAAGTCTGGAGAAAACCTCACACATTTCTGGAAACCTCCATCAGAGGAAAAATCTGTAGCTACGCAACCCGTCTCTTCTATCTGGAATGTTAACTGCTTCTTGTCCCCACCATCGGCCACCAGCGAACTTTCTGTGGCACTAGATTTCTCTGGTTTCCGTTTCTTGGCACCATCAGCGGTACCTGCAAGATTGAAAACATATTGGAACTGTGTGAGCTGCTGTAGCAGTCAACTTCTTCTTCTTCTTCGCGTTCACCAGCTGTACACTCTGGCGGAAAGTTCTGGTTGCTTGTCCACTACTGAACTGCAGTCCTGCTCCAGAACCTGAGTGTTGTGTGTGCATCAGTTTTACAGATCTCATTCTCTTGAATACAGACTGTTGGTTCCTTGCCTCTCCGGCAGATGCGCTCCGACTTCAAAGGAAGCTCCCCAATTAGTCGACTCTTCCGACATGCTTTTGGGGAGGCAGTGGGTCTATTCTTGTTTTCCCCTACAATGGGGCCCCGGAACCCACACAGGGGTAGCAGTCAACTAATTAGGAGCTTCCTTCGAATTCGGAGTGCATCTGAACGAGCGGCAAGGAACAACCAACTGCACACAAATAAGTAAGTCAAACAGATGTTAACTCATGCAATGGCTCACAGCCAAAGTCCAAATAGACGAACAATAAGGACTTACAGAGGGTGAACAAAGCAGAAAGCAGCAGTTGTCACTTGAAACAAAGACACACTAGGTCTTGAGAGGGTTACAATAGCCTTATTGGTTCTCGTGCCTCAACCGCCTATGTTAATCACTTTTTACGGTGCTGTGCGACAAGGGGTACCACTTTAAAAAAATGCAACAACAACAAAAATACATGTCGACTACTTGGGGGCTTTCTTCAAAGTGAAAGTGTATCTGCCTAAGAGGCAGGTAACTAACAATCTGCATACAGACAAGGCAGATCTGTAAAATGTGTATGCAACACTCAGGTCCTGGAACAAGACTAAAGTCCAGAGGTGGACGAACAACCAAACCCTTCCACTGGAGTTTACAGCTGGTGAATGCGAAGGCAAAGGAGATGTTCTGGAGTCTGTTCAGCAGGAAGACTCTGGCAGAGAGCCATCTGGCTCCTACTTAACTGATATGAGTTTTTGTTGAGTCTGCATGCCCAGTGCATAAACGAAAAACTTTGACTTTGTTCTGTGGTTAGGGGAATCTTTTCATGGTTATAAACCAGTGTTTGTTTAAGGTTATGGGTCCTGATGGAAGCAGGTTTTCTTAACAAAATGACCTTGGCTCCCAGGTTGACCCAGCTTTGAGTGGGTACCAGATGTAGTCCTGGGAAGTTGAGGTGGCCAGTCAGATGTTGACCACATCACCCACCAAGTGGTGAATGGTTGATAAAATATAGGTCTAGCCCTATATGCCCAATACGCCTTAAGGCGTGGAAAAGGGTCCTTTTGAGTCAAGCTGGTCGTTAAGTCGTATTTATATATTTTTCAAAACATTCTTTAAATTTAAACAGCTTACAAAAATTGCATACAGAACATAAAAATTCAATCTGTGTACTTATGATCAGACCCTACTGCGCTTAAGCATCAGTTCATGTCAAAACCAGCCCAAAGCAGTCTGTTACCAAATCACCCACAGCTAAAACAGAACAAGTTAATTCAAAATGACAAAGTAAATCCTCAATGCTTCAGTCACAGATGCTGACAAACAATAAATAACACAGAAAATTTACTCACCTGTATCTGCCTTGTTTGGAGTAACTACTTTATATTTAATCGCATAGGTGCGACAAAATTCATCTTGTCCAGTCGCCAGATGATGATTGCGGCCATCATAAAATGACGAACTATTCATTACAGCGTGCTTATCTGTGTCATGGCGGGCAATGCTGGAGCCTGCTACACCATCCTTGGTCACTGTCAGCTCATAGATCTCCTGCAAACCAATGGATAGTAAAAAAAAGTAAAGGACCCATTTTATCTCTTTCCATCTCAAGCAAACCACTATATGGCCTCAGTTAATGTTTATCGCTGCGAGGAGTTACCAGGGGATCTGGCCAACGCTCAACATTCAGGGAAAGGATAAGATAGATGTACAAAAGATATACAATCAGACGGTTACCGGTACTATCAAAATTTGAACTTTTCACTTGCTGCTGAAGATGGGGACTGAGCAATAATGGGAGTGTCCTGAGTGCTGTGATGTTGATTCTTAATTCAACATTCATTTTATGTTTATATGTATCAATGCAAAACACAGTGTGTTTTTATTAATTTTATGTTTGGTCTGGGTATGCAAACAAAATCTGGCCAAATATTTTAAATGCAACACATAATATGCTGTATCTTTGAAAGTCATACACTGATGATGCCTTTTCACTGTGATTATTGTGCCAAATTGGGCTTCTACGAAACCATCTAGGATTTAAAGCGTTAATGACTCAGTTTATGTTTATATGTATTAATGCAATACATTGTGTGCTATTATTTATTTATTGTCCAGAAATGGACAAACAACCAGAACTTTCTGCTGCAATTTATAGCCGGTGAGTGCGAAGAAAAATCGAAGGATGTGAAGCGAAAATGGAGCAGATTTTTATAATCACACTGGCTTCAAGGTCGACCCAGCCTAAAATAGGTATCAGGAAATACAAGGGGAAATCATTAAGTAAAAGCGATAGAAATAATAAGTTTTTTACTAGCGCCCAAACAAAACTGTTCTGTGTTCTATTTCTCGACATAGTCTCCCTGCCTTGCAACATATGCAGTCCACAGCACTGTGGATGCCTGCCATGTAGAAGGTTTGGCTGTGGCCAGTAACCAAGTCTGCACCATCAATGTCACCTCATTTTCATCTGTAAATCTCTGATAGCACAAACTTTCTTTCAATGCTGTTTGCTGAATGTTTTAATACTTTAAATACATCAATACAGGGCCATCCACATTACAGAAGACGGAAGACTTGAATTTTCTTGGTGGTGGTGATGCTGGGTGCTGCCACTGCATGGATTGTCTCTTACTCTATGGTTCATAATGGTGCACTCAGGACTCATCACCTGTCACAATTTGATGGAGAAAAGCATCTACTTCATGGGCATGACAGTCTTTGTGAGTTGCAAAGGGGCTATTATGTGTCGTGAAATAATATTTTTTCCTTCTGCATACTGTTCCATGCAGACTTGGATACTTCTTCTCCTTCTCTTTCACCTTGTACCTCCTAAAAGTGTTGGGGGAAAAGGGGGGGGGGGGGGGAGAGAGAGATGTAACATTCGTTGATGAGCTCTGTCAACAGCACTATTAAGACTGATGTTCATTTCTGTAAGGCTGTTTTTAATGCCATCACTCCATATTTTCCTAGGTCTTCCACTAGCTCTATACCCATTGTAACGTTTTAGTGTGGCTCACTGTGGCAGATAGTACCAGGGCATTCTTGTTAGGTGTCCAAACCACTTCATTTGTTGTTCTTTGATGACCTGTAAGACTGGCTTTATTCCTAGCATTCGTCTGATTTCATATTCTATCTTTCCTTAAAAGACTTCGATACAGTTGCCTTTATTTAATTACTCGTATTCTGGGCGGTGAAGATGGCTACCATGATGTTGATCACACCACTCACAGAATGTTAACTGATCTATTAAAATATGGATCTAGCATTATATGCTGTCACCTACCAGTTAGCCCTACTATTAAAATATGGATCTAGCATTATATGCTGTCACCTACCAGTTAGCCCTACTGCTAAGACACCCAAATGTCTCTCTTCCAGCAAAACAGCAAATGATTAACAGCATCATTATTCATACTTTATGTTATCAGTGCCAAACATGGACAATGAATAGGGCACTAGAACAGAAAATAAATACATGTGGAATGCACTGTCTCCGCAAAGTCACTAACAACACTAGACGAGACATGGTTATGAATACCAGCATTAGAGAGAAAGTTGGAATAAGACCTTGTCTGGATTATATTGACAGACAAAGAATGAAATGGGAATGCAGCCAGGTCGAACTTCATATGGGACTTGTTTACAGCAGAACATCTGGGAGGAAGGTGAGAGGAAGACCAAGAAAGATATGGATAAATGGTGTAACAGAAACCTGCAAAAAGATGAGCAAATCTACCACCCAAGCCACCCAAATCGCGCAAGACAAATACAGAAGACTACGACACTGGGTTGCAACCTAGTATCAGCGAGACGACCAAAAAAAAAGAGGAGAAGATTATATGCCCAATGCACCAATGTCATTATATGGGTTCTCTACAATTGTGCTCCCAACAGAGAAATGGAAGTTGATTGGGATAAGATACGACTGGACTGTCTTCACAGCTATCTCAGTTAACAACCATCAACACAGCACTCTGGACACTCCCATAAGCGTTATATCACCATCTTCAGCAGCGAATGCAGATTTCCAGTTCTGATGGTAGCAGTAAGATTGGTATGTATGTCTCACCTTTCATTTAAGTTTTAGTGGTCAAGTGTGCATGGAACGGCTGTAATTGCAGTTCACACTTTCCACTGCCAAAAATACATTATTTTACTATTTATTATTACTGTATTATGCCACTCATCATAAACTGTAATGTGTGAAAGCTACTAATTACTAGTACTACAATGCAAGATGTGCATACTATCAACTGAACAGCGACAACAAAGATAATATCTGTGAAACCCACTCCAGTGTAATCGTTACCTGCTACGGCTAACATATGCAAATCAATCACGCGCGCCACTACTGAATGTTGAAGTAGGGGATCGGATAGATTCCCTGTTCACTCCTAGCTGGTCACTTTCTCCAGACCACGAATATTTGCTGTATCATTAAAAAAATTCCCTGTGAGTTTCTGGGCCCTACTGTGGATAAAACAAGAATAGGCCCAGTACCTCCACAACAAGGCATGATGTAAGAGTCGATTGATTGGGGTGGGGGGGGGCATCCTTCAAAGTCGGAATGCATCTGCCTGAGAGGCAAGGAACCTACAGTCTGCAAACAGATATGTAAGATCTGCAAAAGTGTAAAACAGATGTACATGCAACACAGTTTTGGGAAGAAGACTTAATTACAGAGGTGGATGGACAACTATAACTTTCCGCCAGAGTTTACAGCAGGTGAAAATGAAGAAGAATAACACAATTTTGCTGCATCATAAAAATATAGGCTATCCTCCGAATGAATAACAGTCCCAAATTATCGAGGCCGAAAATATACCCTAACAGGGCCTCAGTCAAATGTCAATTTCGGACTTCCGGGGACTATACCGCCACCGCCGAATTGTGGACTTCCGGGGACTATCACTATACCGCCACTGTCGAGAGTACCTGGATTAGGGCTAAACTAGATGGCTGGGATTCACGAGCAAATAAAACGAAGGAAGCTGCATGAGATGCGGTAGCTGCTGCTCGTGAGTCCCAGCCACGTACGTACGGACTGGGTGGGTCGCGAAGAAGACTCAGAAGAGGCCGATTATGCAAATATAGTGGACAGAGGGAATGAGAGTCAGTCCCTGTGAATCGCCCATTTATGAAGCGCATACGCCATATGATACGGGCTCTTCCCCCAAATTACACTTCACCCCGACACACTGCAAAGTACCACAGAATCTTCATCCTAATGATCATCAAGATGAGACTGAAAGTTTAAGAAGGATGTCCGGTGACCGTCTGTATCGGACTGGTGTTCTCGGGTCAGAGTAGTGGAACAGACAGATAGGAACGAATAATTATTAATTTATTAACACTACATCGCAATGGCAAATCTAACTTACGATAGCATTTGCAATTCCTGTCTTAGCTTGCCCGCCTCCGCCGGCAACAAGAAAATGTCTCTCATCCAGAGAACGGACCGTGTATAACGGAAAGTCTGTGTGTGCCAGTAAGACTCCTTTACTGGGCGCCATGATGCAGTGACTCCGGCTTGGTAAACAATGAAAGAGGAGCTAGTTATTGACACGGTCATGACAGTGACACGAAATCATGGCTTTTTCCACCTAGAAAGAAACGTGTCAGTGGTTCCTACAAAGTATCTACAGTATTATTCTTGTGCGAATCGTTCCGTCATTATAGCATCGGCAAGTAGGAGCTCATACAATTAGCACTCTAAGAGTGCCTTTTCTTTCCATAGCATTTCCCGATGCTCAGTTTGGGATAGGACACGGCCAGCTCCAGATTTATATATAGCTCAAGATGGGAGTAGATAAGACCACATGAGAGCTAAGGTCATACCCCCTATGATCATTACAAATGGATGTTGCGGCTAAAAAACCTTCATTAGCAGACAAAAATAGGAACAAAGATGCAGTTACGAATTATAACTTTGCTGTGTGAGTGAAAAGTCGGTAGGCCTTCAGAATGTGCTCATGTGTTTGTGGTCCCGTCTGACCTGCACACTGTGATTACTGTACAGTCTATTTTATGCCTGCAGTGTCTCTCTTCTTAGATTACAAATTATTATATGTTACTTTATGTTGAGTCTGCTGATAGGGTCTTGTGGATTTTTACTGTTTGTTCTCTCAACAATTCCTTGTATTTAACCAGTGATAGAAGTGTTTTTATTTCTTGTAATGACAATAAATGGGTGTGCTGTTTCTCCTTTGTTCCATTTTTTGCAAGTCTGTCTGCTAACTCATTGCCTGGTATTCCGCAGTGAGCCGGGATCCACCGGAGAACAATTTAGTTATAGGGTTCGAGTTCCATGGTGGACGGAGATTGGGAGGCATCATTTCTGCACACCGTAGAAGATAAGAAGAGAGTGGTTCCTCACCACGTAATACTCCTAAAGACAGTAGTGGGGACACTGTAACCAACCTCCATTCTTGAATGAATGTTGAATTAAGAATCGACATCATAGCACTTGGGACACTCCCATAAGCGTTCCGCCCCCATCTTCAGCGGGCAAACTAAGAATCCTAATTCTGATGGCACTATTAACTGCCTAATTGTATATTCGTCTCATCTTTACCTTGAGTCTTGAGCATCGGCCAGATCCCCTGACAACTCCTCGCCGTTGCATTCTCCTCAGACCATAATGATCTATTTGCGCTTCCGCACTGTCCACTCGCTTCCAGTGGGCCCTCACAACGTCTAGCTTGTCATACATCAGTTCACCACCAAGTGGTACAGAAACGTCCAGTCTCTCTGCCTGCTCATTTCCCAACAAACCGGCATGACTTGGAGAGAATATTCAAACGATGCTAACTACCCGGGAACTCTTAAGTGATGCTTGCCACTCTGCAAAGAGCATACCTGTCTCCACCTTTCTCAAAATGCTCTGTGAATCAGTTACAATCACGCCATGTGTGTACAGCTGATTTTTTAAGCCAGCGGAATATGGCAGTGACTGCCTCCACCTCTATTCTCAAACTAGACGTTGTGATATCATATGCCAGGCTCAGTTGCACTGAGCGATGTCCACTCACTTTTGCTATGAACCCCATGCACTTGATCTGCCCCTCAACACAGAGCCATACGTATAGATAATCCCACCACCCAGGCCGGAATTATCATGAATCATTTGTTGAACTTCTGATTCTGCAGCGCCAGCTGACCAATCTCTGCACTCACGATCCAAAATGACAAGAACCCTACCCAAGTCTGAAACTTGCTCGAACACTTTGACCTACCCCTCACCTCGCACAAACGGTCTGAGGAGAATGGCACTGCGAGGAGTTACAAGGGGATCTGGACGACGCTCGACACTCAGGGGAAAGTTGACATCGATATACAATCAGACAGTTACTGGTACCATCGGAATTAACTCTTTGCTTGCTGCTGAAGATGGGGACGGAGCGCTTATGAGGGTGTCCTGAGTGCTGTGATGTCGATTCCTAATTCAACGTTCAACTCGCAGAAATTTATCAAGCCTGCACATAAGTTTGATTGTGTTCTCAGTCTGCGCCATCAAAGACGTTTCTCTTTTCAGTCTGTGGCCCTTAGCTCTACCCAGGGCTTCATGAAAGAGTTGTTTCTCGTCTGCAGCTACTCTGAGATATGACTTTGCTTGCAGAACATTGAGCCTATCTGCAGTAGTAGGAAGTGCAAACATATCATTCTTGAGGGGACACATTATTCTAAGCAGAGCTCTATAAAAAAAAAAAAATATATACAAACAAGGAGCCGGTACTCACCACGAAGTGCCTAAAATGTGCCAATACTCACCACGAAGTGCTTACAATGTACCGGTACTCACAACAATGTATACTGCACTAGAATTTAGGAAAACAGATGTACACCAAATGTACCCGTACTGTGTACCATAGCGCACCGCCAGGGAAATAAAGGGTCTGGCTTTAGAATAAGAAGCAGCAGGTTTTTTTTTTAATGGTACGCCGTACTAGCATCTTTTTTGATAATCATTGGGGGGGGGGGGGGGGGGGATAACGGAATGAGACGATGTTTGAACTTGAAGTTTAAACAACGAATCAACATCATGGCACACAGGTAGTAACCGATAAGTGCTCCGTTCTTCAGCACAGTGCACAGGCTCTGTAGCACCGGCGAGGATCCTGAAATCTTTTGGGTAGATTTTTAACTGCAAATTTTCCCCGGGGGGCGCCGTCAGCTTCTCTCTCTTTTTTTTTTCTATTTCTAATAGCCAAGGGATTTTTACGTGCGCAACAATGCATACAGGCGACTGATCAGACTTCCCAGAGGTCAGGGGGAATTACTAGCAGTCTAAGTGAAAACATTCTACCCCTTATCGGGGATTGAACCCGGAGCCTCGAGCACTCGAGGCCGACACCATATGAGACACTTTGTGATAAGTAGTACCTTTACAGACACTTTATAGTGATCACCAGCACCATTTTTTCTTCTAGAAAAATTAAAGCTCAGGTAATAAGTAAGTTGATTAGAACACTGAATATGATGTGGCGGATGATCTTTAGATGGGTGTTTCAAACGCGGGACATCTCTCTTGTGACCGAGAAGTTTTTCGGAGGGTTGTTAGGGAAGCAATGTTCTGCAAAGGACGTGTTGCTGACTGATTAGAATAGAACACTCACAGTTCTCATTTTATATGTACGGAGTTATAAGAATGTCGTAAAGAAAATCGAGCCAGTTTACGGGTAGCCCGCATGTAAACATTGTTGAAGACAGGAATCCATGTGCGTGTTCACGGTGTTGTCTTGTGCTGTTGCAATACACGACTTTGTAACTGTGACTGTTTAGTTTCAGCGTATTACACAGCGGTTGGAAATATCTTTTGGAGTATTTTTTATTATAAGCGGCGGTAAGGCATTGTTTTGTTCAGTTTTTGATGTGCTATAGTATAGTGCTATATACTGGACTATACAATTAGACTGATTATTCATTCATTAATCTGATAGGGTGTTTAGTCAAAATTTATTTTTTGGGCCTTTTGCTTTTAAACCATGATAGCTGCTTAGAGGTTAAAAAACAGAGTTCAACGGTACCTCAATGAAGTCTGTATGTCAGTTCTAAGCGGAGATATTCACATTTTAGTGACGGAAAGTGCTCCCAAAAATTAATAGAAAAAAAAACAGAAACAAGATGGCGGCCTGTTCCCAAGTGAAAACTGGACCTAAAGTGACAACATTTGTATGTTTTATGTCTACACCTCTTATGTTTTTTGCTGAACCCCTTAGCAACCATATATCATTGCATTCAGGGCAGCAAGCTCTAACTAAAGTTGTTGCTTTTTAAAAAATATAATGTAATGCAAATCTAATTAACAAAGAAAAATGGGTCAAATTATCAGTATTAATAATTAAATACCTTATGAATTAATGATTATTATCCAGTGTGTCTTGCAAGACGTATACTATAATATGCATACTTTTGTAACGATTCTCTGTGTTATGATGTATCTCTTCCTATTTGTTGAAAAATGCTTTTTCTCGTACTGTCACTTTTGTGTGTGTGTGTGTGTGTGCACATCTGACCAAAATTGGCTTTGCTTATTATTCCACTGTTAAAGTTAAAAAATGTTCAACAGTGAGTGGATTGACGTCATTGCATCGTTACTGGTTTCATATGGATTGGTCTTTCTCCACATAACCGTGAATAGCTAGCCGCATGCCGAGAGCTTAGCACGAAGCCTGAATACCGTAGCTCCAGCAACAGTCCTCAGAGATCCCTGTTAACCCAAAAAATTCATTTTTGAGTTGAACAACGCAGCTGTAAAAACGCACCGCAACCTTCCAAGTGTGAGGTTAACGGCTTGACCACTTTGCTACGGAGACCCCCATATTGTTTGATAACGAAGTGAAAACATGCACTCTTCTTACTGATTTAACATAATCCCTTTTTCAGTCTTCGCAAGTTATTCTTTCATTTTATTGATAATGAGTGCATTTCACCAGAGAGTCCCCTTCTTCTTAACCAGTCACTGCTCAATATTTTATTTATTTGTTCAAAATATTCTAAAGTATTCACTCATATCTAATTTGTGATTCAGTGCTATGTTTTCATGGAGTAAAATTATTAAATAAGTTCCTTTGTGATTCACTTTGGATTTATGTTGTGTTTTCACGGAGCAGTGTTTCATAAGGTAAGAGTCAATAGTACATTCTACTTTATAAATTAACGTATCTATGAGTCACTATGACTCATGTGATCTGTTTGCTGGCTAGTATATATTATCTGACATTACAGTTTCTTTTTAAATGCTCAAGATATGTGTCTGTGGGGAAAGAAATTAATTTTCTGAGCATGGAATGGATCCCTTGGGCAAAGCAAAAATGTTTTTTTTTAAATTTAAATTCAACCATTCCATTTAAGAATTCACTCAGTATTACTAACACAAACATTTTTTTTAAAATTCATTTATGGCAGATTTGTGTATAGCCTATACTATAGAAAAAAATCAATAAATAATAGTATAATTTATACTAACTAATAATTTATTGATTTTATTTTACTGCTTTATTTTTTTATTTTT